CACACAACTCCTGCCCTCCAGGATCTCACAGGTTTCATCCACTGAGAGCCCCTGGATATTTCTCCAGCTTTTTCCTGTCTCCTTGGAGAGAAAAAGTCTCACATGAGCCCTCGCCATGAGGGTTAGAGGGTTGAGATTTGAAATACCCACAGCAGCTTAGTCTGTGACCGAGTTCTTCTGTCTTTCCTGGCATACTGGCAGTGAATCGAAGTCACCGGTGAGGTGTGTTCCCACACTCGGCGGGTCTCCCAAGGGAGATGAGTTGTCAAGGCTTGAGGACGGGGGCTGTGGGCCGCTGCTCCCAGGACCGGTCTCCCTTAGCACTGGTGTACTGCAGCATACCTGGGCGACCGACATGCCCTCTGCCCAATATAGCACTGCTGGGGAGCATCCTTCGAGCTCATTTTTCCCCCCATAACTGCCTGCATGTGCATACACACGTGCACACACGTAGCTTTAAACACCAAATGTCTAGGGTCTTCCTCTGATCGGATGCTTTGGAACTTGGACACCGTGAGCACCCAGCTGGTGTTCTCTCCCTGTTTTGCATCCGGGGGTTAGCACTCCTGACACCCCTCTCCCCGCACTTCTGAGCGTGGTGACCAAGGAAAGCTCTCCTTCGTGTTACCTTCCCCCCCTTCACTTTTTAACCTTCCACTTTTGTCTTTCTGCTCTTTTCTTCCTCCCCATGAGCTCCGGGTTGGTTTCGCTCGCCCGTTTCTGGTCTTCCTTGGTAGAGCGGTGTGTGCACAGCTGGGCCCCGATGCGTGCGCTCTCGTGCCCGTTTCGCAGCCTCTCTGATTCTGTGGCTCTTGCACGTGCCCCACCCACCTCCCACCATTCTCCGACACCTTCCGGTCCTTAGGGAGCCCAGCTGAGAGTCACACAGCTCTCCCCACCCCTCCCTGAACTTCCTAGTTCCTGGATAACCTTTGTCTGTCACCCATATCCCTGTGAGGCTCGTCCTGGGACCCACGACCCTGTTCTCCACGTAGGTCCACCACATCTTCAGCATTTGCAGGAAGAGGGTGGGTACAATGATGTACATCCTTCGGGGTGGGCAGGCACACATAGAGGTGAGGTGACTATATTCACTAATACATACACCTAAGCTATGCATCTAAGGAGGGGTGGGCGCAATTGTTTTCAGTAAATCAGGGGATCTTGTACTGGGGCAAGACCCTAATCGATAGCCCATGCGTCTCTAGCTGGGGTCAGTAAAATTCTGGCCCACTGGAAGAATCAGACTTTCTGTGCCTTGCTGCGAAGGCGAGTGACCCTGAGTGCGTGTGCGTGTGCACAGGCACGCCTCCACATTTGTGCTCAAGTCTGCATCCACACCTTTGTCATGTCTGTGTCTCGCTTTCCCCCGTTTGATGCTCCCCCCCCCCCATGGGGGCCTTTCATTCACCAGTCCGCAGCGAGCCAAGGACAGCTTCTTTGCGGCCTGCTTTGTACCCCCTGATTCCCAATGTAACAAGAGCGACTTTCTTCCCAGTCCATGGGGTCTCAGGTGTTGGTCCCTGCCCGTTTTGAGGGGGACCTGGTTCATGTGGCTGCTTCGCTAGGGACATAGGTGGAGAGTGGCTCCACGGAGGGGCACAGGAGACCCAAAATGGTGGACCATGCTGATGACCCCTCATTTCCGTGTGTCTTGTCCACCCCACAGCCCTGTGACATTAGGTGGGATAGGGGGTGCTGTCTTTATTTGCCCAGGTAAGGAATCTGCAGCCCCGTGAAGTCACGGAACTTGTCCAAGACCTCACGGCTGGTTGGTGGCGGACCCAGGCCTGCAGATCAGGTTCCCCGACTCATCCTCCAGTCCTTCCCCATCCGTCTTGCCACCTTGTCTTTACCCCTTTTCAGTAACGGGTAAGTGGCAACAGAGTAGTTAAAAGGCCTGGGCTCTGAATTCACACTTGTGGGCATCAAATCCTGGCTCTGCCACTCCTCAGCTTCCAGGCATGCTTCTTAATCTCATGCTGCCTTAACTTCCCCGTCTGTAAACTCAGGCTAATGATGGCATCTAGCCCGTAGGTGCTGGTGAGGCTTCACTGTGATGGTAGTGCCTGGCCTGTGGCCAGCACTGGTAGCTTAGTGCCCGTAGTGGTCACGACTCTGCATTAGCATTCCATACCACAGTGATTGTCCCAATGGATGGCCGACAGTCTCCACAGCTGTGCTGGGTTTTCAGGGTGTTTATGGAATCCGCCCACCATCAAGCTGCTGAAAGACTGCCCAGGTGCAGCTTCCATGCCCAAAGCGGCATTGAAAAGCACACGGCGACATCTCCTCAACAGCCAAAACATGAGGTACGAAGTGGGTGCTGTGCACCGTGAGAGTTTGAAGCCTGCGGTCCTGGAGGGACCACACAGGGGAGCAGGCCTGCCCTCGCGAGGTCAAACCGATAGGTGGAGAATGAGTTACAGGCATCAGGAGCGGAGGTCCAGGGAGGTTCTCTTCACCTCGTTTGTCAGGGAAGCTTCCAGAGCCCCGCTCGGACCTGGCCCCCTTCAGCGGTCATGCCTTCTGGGAGCTCCAGCACTAAGCACACCGGGCTGTGAATGAGCTTGGCAGTGACCCTGTGTTTTGCCGTCCCTGCAGGTGGGCTCCCAGCGGTTCAGCGTCAACATGCCCCACAAGTTTGGTATCCACAACTACAAGGTCCCCACCTTCTGCGACCACTGTGGGTCCTTGCTCTGGGGCCTCTTACGGCAGGGTTTGCAGTGCAAAGGTAAGGCGCCCCATGCCCTGCCCTCACCCTTCCGTACTCGTGTGTCCCCTTGGTCTCCTTTTTGAAAAATCTTTGTTCCCCAGTAAGTTCCAGGTCTGGCCAGAGGACTGAGCCCAAACCCTTATTTGGCTCTTATTAGTTACTTGTGAATTCGTTAAACAATCGCTGTGCAGATGGCGGCCAAAGAAACTCCACAGAGCGGATGTGGAGGGGGGAGGTGTGCTTCTTCCATCAGGACCATGAACAAGGCAGAGCAACACGATGAGTCCATAAAAGTGTAGAAATAATTTAAGGAAAAGATAGGTTGGAGCAGAGGAGAAAGAAATATTTCTGGAGAGAGGACCCGAAAGAAGTAATACCTTGTCACGATCCATGGTTCCGAGCTTACTCTTGGGAGGAGCCATGTTAGGACCCTATCACCCAAGACGTCTTATTGATCCTTCATAGGTCTGTTCCATAGGTGATATTATTCCTATGACCCTGAGGCTCAGCAACTAAGTAACTTGCTCATGCCACACCGCTTATGAGTAAAAATAAGGTTTGAACCTTGACTCTTGAGCCTCGACTTCCTTCCTCTGTTTCCTGTTGTCCTGCTCACGAATTGTCTTCTGTTCGGATGAGATGGGTAACAATACATAATAATGTGGGGAGGAGGGAACATGCTCTGGGGATCTGAATGGAGTGCTTAGTTTCATGGGCTGGTCCAGTTGGCATGCAGCATTGGACATTCATGAACTGTTGGGATTTGTACTGAATATATTATTAATAAATTCCCACTACGGAAAAATTAAAGGTAAAGGATAAAAAGGAAACTGGAGGCCATGAACAGGCCAGTCATTGAAGGATCCCAATGAGAAATTATGAGGACTGGAAACAAAGTTTAGAGGTGTAGAGGGAATAAAGAGAAGGAGAGTAACTTAAGAGATACTGAGGAGTGATTTGTTGGATGTGTGACCAGATCCAGCTGGGAGGGCAGTGACACCATTCACTGAGAGGAAATAGGAGAGGAGATCAGGCTAGAGGCAAAGATGGTGGAGTTGAGTTGAGGACATATTACCTTTGAGGTGCCTGTGTGAAGTCTACCAGAGCTAACTTTTGGGCGTTCTCATTGAAATTTGGGGTGAAGGCTATGGTGAGCATCCAGACCTGGGATTTGTCAATGTAGTAGTTACAGGTATAGTAGGTGGTACTTAAAGCTATAAAGTTCATCCCTGGAAGAACCTGAGCGTTGAGAGAGAGGGTAACACCCTGAGGTTTGGGGGAGGAAGGTTACCAGCATTCGAGGATGAGCCTGCAGAGGCTATGGCGGGACTTCAAAGGTAGGAGGAAAGGTCTTGAGGAAAGGCATCGCGGAAGACAAAGAGGGAGAGAGTATTTAAAAATGTTCAAAGGAAGTGATAAGTGGCGCCAGATGTTTCCAAGAGGTCATTCAAGGTAAGAAGTAGAACATGGAGTTGGATTTAACTCTCAGGAGGCCTCTAGTGACCTCCTGACAGGAGGTGTCTTGGTGGGATTGAAGGCCAAGTGTGGAGGCTGTAGATGAAGTATTTTCAGAATGTTTTAAAAAAAGGTAATGAGGGAAAAGACCGTGAGAATAGGAGAGATTAGTGAGCTGGGAGGGAGAGGAGTGGGCCTTGGGGAGAAAGATGGACACCCCTCCTGCCAGGTGGACAGGAAGTCTCGAGGCCAGGCACAGGTGCGGATGTGTTTCCTGTGTCAGGGGTAGGAGGTGAGGACACAAAGTGACCCTTTAAGTTCTGACTCTGTTGAGGGCATTGTGCGAGAGTCCCCTTGTCTTCTGAACGAGGAGATCCCTTTTAAAGTGGGTGTAAGGAGTGGGTGGAGGGTGTGAGAGGTGGTGCAGGTTGGAAGCGGCTATGCTGGAGACCGAGGGCACCCTGATTCGGGGCAGGAGGAAGTTCTGGCTGTCCACACATCTGTCCTGGGTGAGCTCTCCAGACTTTCAGACCAGCATTCCCGCACACGACCCTGAGACAAAGAAGCAGGGCCTGCCCGAAATCCTTCTTGACACTAAGTGACATCAAAACAGTGGAAGAGGAGGGAGTGAGTGGAGCAGGACTCTCGAGTGTTGTTGGCAGAGGAGTGATGCTTTTAGGGGCTGTTGAGTGGGGTTGCCGGGAAGCACAGAGCTGCTTTGGATGCGACTCTGATAAGGCCATGTCTGGGTTTCAGTAAATATATTACTACTGATCAATGTGGGGAATCTAAATGAAAATACCATCATCTCATAAATATTGACATCTTAAGAAAGCCTCCCAGGCACCCAGATGTCACTGCCAGGGCTGTAGGCTTGTAGCTTCTACAAGATGTAGAAGATCTACAAGATGTAGCTTCTAGGATGACCCTAGAAGAAGGCAGGACTCAGGGACATGTATTCAGCTGTTTTGGCAGGAAACGCTCTCATGCCAGCTCAAGCAGAGGAAGGGGACAGTGAGGCTACCTACAGCAAGGATACCTGTTCCCAGGAGCCCAGAGCAGCGGATGGGAGGCAGGCCACACAGACTTCAAGGCCAAGGCTGTCAGAATATAGGGTCCCCAGCACACGTTCGCAGGTCTCCCCTCTCCTGTTCCCCTGTTACCGTGGTGTGGTCACTCCCTCTTACTCCTTCCCTATCCTGGCTACCTCTCCCCCACCCTTAATTAACAGGCTATTTTTAGAGCAACTTTAAGTCTATAGCAAAAGTGAGAGAAATGTACAGAGACTTCCCATATACCCCCTGCACCCACATACACACAGCCTCCCCACCATCAATGTGCCCCCCACCAGTGGTACGTTTGTTACGATGGCTGAGCCTCCATTGCCACAGTAGGACCCTGGGGACCCAGTGTCCCTAGCTTTCGTTAGGATTCACTCTTAAAGTTGGACATTCTTTGGGTCTTGACAAATGTACAGTGACCTGAATCCACCCCCATGGTATCTACAGAATGCTTTCCTTGTTCCAGATCTCCTGTGTTTACTTCTCCCTTTTGATCCTTTCTCAACCTCATGTCTTTTTGCTCCTGCGGACCCCTTACCCTGTAGGGAGGGTAATGGTCTGAAGAGGCCAGCAGGATTCAGAGCAGGGGCCCCTCTTGCCTGGGTCTGAGTCTGGTTCTGCTGCTATGATTGCTAAAAAAAAAAAAAAAAAAAGAAACCAGGAATTAGAGACCTGCCCAGGGGCCTAGAGCACCTTCCTGTGGGGCCAGAGCTTACCCCACCTGCCTCCGATCTCTGCTCCATGCCCTCTCCTGCTCTGGAAGCCTCCATCAGGTTCCCACCTTCGCTGGATCATGCTGGCTTGGTCCCCTAGGCTGGGGCCCTGGTCCCCTGGCCCATGCCTTCAGCTTTGTTGTCCCCCTTCTGTGAATAGGGTCACGTATTTTCAGTGAAACCGTTTTCTTGAGAGCTTGGGTCTACAGGGAAGGACCCACGGGGCTGTCTTGGTTAATCTCCCTTCAGCCTAAAATTGCCTGAGCCCTGTGGGTTCGTGGGTCGTGTGTGTATTCCCCTAAAGACCGTCCCTCTGTCGGCCGGGTAGAGGGAACATAACCACCCTGTTTTACTGGTGGGGGATGGAGAACTGGAGTGCACGAGGAGGATACAGGCAGGGACCCACAGGGACCCACCTCTGTCCTCTGGGCTGCCCCCTCCCCGCCTATGGCCCGGAGGCACTGGACCCTAAGGAGGACACTCACCAACACTTGTTGGGTAACCGAGCTCCTTAGTAAAGGGTGGAAAAACACCGGCACTAAGTACGCAGACAAAACATTTCATCCCTTTTTTCTTAGGACTCAGGTGCCCGTAGAGTCTGCGTCTCTCTCCGGATTCATTCATGGGTCTGCCTGAGCACCCCAACCACTGTTAGACCAGAAACTGGCTTCAGACATTCAGGGGCCAGCATCACTGAGCCCCTGAGGCATGTGAATCCTTGTTCTTCACTTTATTTTTAAATGTTTATCAATTTTTGAGAGACAGAGAGAGACAGAGCATGAGTGCGGGAGGGGCAGAGAAAGTGGGAGGCACAGAATCCGAGGCAGGCTCCAGGCTCTGAACTGTCAGCACAGAGCCCAACGTGGGGCTCGAACTCATGAACTGCGAGATCATGACCTGAGCCAAAGTCAGACGCTTAACCGACTGAGCCACCCAGGTGCCCCAGTTCTTCACTTTATTTTAACTGCTCAGCTTCCCCTATGTGACCTCACCTGCACCATGAACCTCTCCAGCCCCTTTTGCACCTGTGTTTTATTTTTCCATTGACACATGGACTCAGTCCCCCCGGAGGGAAAGACACCTAATACCTTATGATTTTTCTTTTCGTCTCTAAAGAAGATACACATTCTCACCTTCCTCGTAGCCTGCCTTCCATTTCTCTTCTGCCCACGATCCCCCCACACTCACATCTTCCAGCACAGCTGCCCTGAAGTCATCGGGCACTGAGGAGCAAGGCAGCAGAAAGCCAGATCCGTCTACACTGCTCAGTGTGCCCTGCAGGGACCTGCAGAAGCGCTGGCGTTTTGTCATCCCCATGTGAGGTGGGCCCCCTGTGCCTGCATGTCCATTCTGATTGCATCTCTGTCCCCAGGCAGGGGTGACGGTACCCTGGGGGAAAGTCTGGCTGGGAGATTCCCAAAGAATCCTCCGGGCTCCCTGCCTTTCTCCGAGATCCCATCTTAATAACCACCCTGCTCCGAGGCTGCTTTCATGGGCTAAGGAGCCAGAGTATCACTTACTCCCCAAGAAGTGATGAAGAATGGGTCAATTTGTTTGGGGACAAATGACCTAGGGGAGTTGTGGCCCATCGAGATCACAGGGTTAGAGTCTTGGAGGCTGTTTCGGTCCTGGTTCTATTATCTCCTGGCTGAGCAGTTGCAGGAGTCACTCTGGCTTGGTGACCCTGGGCTTGCTTCTAATCTCAGCTGCCCTCCTGCCTTCTGGGAACTGCAACGAAAATGGTGAACTGAGCCACCTTTGTGGCGTGCTTTAGGGAGTGGCTGTGGGGAGCCGGAAAGACCAGAGAAAGGAAGAATCTTCCCTTCCTTCCCTCCTTCTTTCTTTTCTTTTCTTTTCTTTTCTTTTCTTTTCTTTTCTTTTCTTT